TAAAATTTCGATTTCTTTTTCAGATATATTGATCGTCTTGCTCGACGGATGGTATTCGCGAACTTTGAAAAAGATATCATCAAATATAGTTGAAGAGAAGATAGTTTGACAGACCTTCAAGAAGCTGCTGTATTAGGTTTTCAAGGTTCAATTGAGAATCATCGCCATCTGCTGACATAGTGTACTTTCTATGCTGATTAGCAGATAAACTTAGAATAATCTTAGTCTTTCTAATGTATATCTTAAGTGAGAAGATGAGTTCATATAAATTACAAAATAAATATTATCTGGCCTCGTAGCGACACTTTGTAAACATATAGGAATATATAGGATTTTAAAACGCCATTTATATAGGATCACCTAGTCCTATATAGGATATTTATAGGACATCAGTTTTGAATAAAATTCTATATATATATGTATATGCATATCACATAATTTATTTCAAAAAAAAACAATCTGAATCAATGTCACAAAAACACACGAACTAGAATAATGTTAGAAAAAAAAATATTTTGTAGTCTATAATACAAAATATCCTATTAAATATTTATTTAATACTTTCAAATGCATTATGTGTATCTGAAAATGATGTACAAATATTAAAATGAAATGATCAAATATATGTTTTAAATTAAAACTATAATCAATTGATTAGTTGGTCGAACATTTTTGTCGTTTTAATCTATGAAGTTGATCAAAAGCATCTTTTCGTTTCTTTTGAATTTTAATTAAATCTTCAGTTACTTTGACTAACTGTTCATTAATTGATTTATTTCTCATATTACCACCATCAATTAATATAGAAGCTCTATCCATATCAAGATTATCTTTATTTTTTATTGCTATTTGTAAACGTGCTGTAGCTTCAGTAATTATTTGACTAGCTTGAAGAAGTTGTTGTTGTAAATCTTTTTGATTTGATAATAATTCTCCTTCTTCTTTTAAAATTTCTTTACACGCTTCGTCGACTTGTAACATCTCTTCATTTTCTTTTTCTAGTTGTTCGACTGCTGCTTTTCTCGAGTTTAAATCTTGTTTATATAACAAATGAGATGACTGAACCATTTTAATCATGTCCTTGTTTACGTACACCTAAATTTAAGGAATAATGTTTATTAAATCAAACAAATATAGTATAAATGCATACCTTATGACTTGATCCATCACCGAGAAATTTTACACCATCATATGTTGAACGTAAAGCATTTATTGATGTATTAGACAAATTGGATCGATTGGATGTAACAATATTTTCATTAATTGAAAAACCACGTTCTATATCAGCATTTCCATGAGGAATAATAAGAATATTTTTAATTAACTTTCCTAATATTGGAAATTTTGGTCGTCCATCCACCATTTTCATCGATAAAACATGATTCCAAAAGTAATCAATCCGATGAAAAATAACTTTTTCGTTTCCATAACCATCGTCCTGTCTCCCTTCAACAATCCATTTTTGATCAAAATTTTCTAGTGAATAATTTATCCATTCATCTCGTATATGATCAATTTCTGTATCAGTTAATAAACCTGGAATGGCTTTAGCAATACGACTTAATTCATGAGTATATTCAGCAGATTTAAATGAAGGATTGAAAATTTGCATATCACGTACAAATGAACAATTTAATGGTAAATTATTTTTAAAATATTGTGCTATAGCATGATAGATAGTCCGTACATCTTCAAAAAAATCTTCACGTTCTTTTTGCGTAATATTCATCAACAATTTACGTGTTGATTCTCCTAAAATTAAAAAAACGCAAAAAACAAAAAAAAATAATCATTTCAATGTAGATGCTGATATTACCTATTCTTATTTGCTTATTATTTAATTGTTTTTCTTTCAATTTAAAATCTAAATTCAGTAATTCATTACCAGTTTTATTACCAACATAATCAGGCACCAAAAATTGAACCAAAACATCTCGATATAATGCTGATAATTCAACATATAAAAGGTGTATAAGTGGTGCTTCTTGTTGAAAAAATGTAAGAAAACGATCAAATATTGTTTCACATAAAAACAATACAAATTGTAATTGAATTTTAATGGTGTACGAGGTTAAACTAAGTTTAATTCTATCATAACGATCATTTTTTTGAATTTGTTTTTTTTCTTTTGTTGGTAAAAGTACGAGAAAATATTCTTTTAGAGGTTCCCATAGTGCTACATATAACAAAATACCATTTTTTGAGAGAAATAAAATAATATAACTCAATCTACTCACTTAAAACACGTGTAATTACTTTACCAAGTAATACCCAACGTGTAGAAGTAAAATATAATAATGTTTTTTCCATTAATATATTAAAATCTTCAATAATATCAACTAAGTCTTCTTGACGAGCTGGTGATCGTTTGAACCATGCATAAAGATCAATACATTTATTTTGTGCATGCCAATCAGTTGATAATAAACCTATAAAGAAGAAAAATAATAATTATTTTTGTCATAGGATAATATCTGTCTACCAGCTTTAAATCCATTGTGAACCACATGCAAATGACAACCACCAATTTTTAAAAGACCACCACCAATCTTTTCCATTTCAGCTTCAATCATTTTTTCCAGTGACAAATTTACATATGGACTATCACGTCCTAACATAAGCAATTTTTTTAAATCTAAACCATCTGTTTTAAGTGCATCAAGTATTGCATTTTTTAACACTATTGCTGTTGCATGTCCTAATAGAATTGTTTTGTAATATCGAGTTACAACACGTCCTTGATCAAAACACCAGTATCTGACCAACAAATCCAGTTGTTTACGATTTTGATTATTTGTCTGTTCATCAAAGCATAAAACAAACTTATCATTTCTCTTTAAAGATTTAACTAGTTCTTGATGAAAATGTGGACCAAGACCATATGATAGGACATACGAAACCTTTTTCGCCTGCATACTAAATTCTTTTGCAATTTTAGAGTCAGGAAACATGCTACGAAATACATCGCCAATTTCATTGCACGAATTAAAAGAAAATGCACGTTGTGCAACTGTTAAAGCCCATACAGCTTCTGCTTTAGTAACTTGTTCTTGAAAATCTAAAATTAGTGGTTGTTTTAATGCACCTAATCGAAGATGTGCTGTTGGAATAACACCTTCAGTTGATGTTGAAGCAGGTCCAATAACAAATGTTGAATTATTTTTTAATGATTTTATATTTTCTACATGATTTTTTGTTTTCATATGTTGTTCAATTGCACTCCAACCTCTATTGGAGCAATCGAGATCATTTGTTTTGCACAAAAGACATTTAAATGTTTTTGTTGTTTTTCCATTCGTTAACCATTTACTTAATTCGATACTATCATCATCTGTTCGATTTAACCAACATGGATTAAATGTTGTATCTCTGGGCATTATTATTTAATAGAGAAACAATAACAATTGAATATGATTATAAGAATGAAATATCAAAAAATAAATAAAAACCACTTGAAAGAATATTTGGATAATTTTTATTTAAATCTGGTATTAAAAACAATCCAAATTTTTATAAGAGATGAAATAAAAATTAAAACACATAATTGATCACTTGAATATTATCTAAAATATCTTTTAATAGTAAAAGTTTCGACTTTCATTATAGTTTTCAATATTTAACATAGTTAAACTCCACATACGTTATCCAGAAAATATTAATCTTTCTAATAAAGAATTTTGGATAAAACACAAAGAAAAAAAGACAACTATTAATAGTTGTACATATACAAGAAGTGAATCATCAAAACAATGAATGGAAAGAATAAGATACATTGTACTTATATACTTGTCACTACTATCCACATAATTCGTTTTACACGTTAATAAAATTATTGAAAACACATAAATCTATAGTCATTATTTTCAAAATATACAACTTTTCTGGCACAAACCTTCATTTTTTTTTAAATATAGGAATATAGGAAAATTTTTAAAAAAATAGGACATTATAGGACCGATTCCAAAAATATAGGAAATATAGGAAAAATAGGACAACTACGAGGCCAGATATTATATATCAACTTATTCGGCAAATTTCTTGTGTGCGACAGGCAAGAAACTAGACTATTCAGGAATATTAGTCGTAATTGATAGTTTCTTGCATCAACTACACTATAGACACAAGTAGACTCACAATCGTGAGTAACACGCACATGGACATTACTCAAAACAAGCAGAAACTTTTGTAATAAATGAAAACAGAACAGAAAAAAAATAGTTGAAAGCGAATTATACGATGGATCGAAAGACGTCAGCAAAGTAAAAATATAAAATAATCTGTAATTTCAAAACAGGTCGTTGTCACACACGTGACTCTATTATGTTTGAATAATAGACACGTACAAGTATTTAGATCTATTCCATGATTGAGAAGAACGGAGAAAATGAATACTCTACCGAATCAAACTCGTACGATCAGATTCGAAATAGCTGCAGTTCGAAACCAGCATCGCATTGTTTTCAGAAAACAGCTATTTTGATCGACTTAGTCTTGTGATACAGTAAGATGATCAAAAATACAAAACTCTGTCAAATTTTATTTTTTGTAGTTTTTAGCAAACAATTTTTTCTACGTTACTCAGAGCTTAAAGAAACGCGCAAAAATGAAGAGAATGCACATCACATGCAAATGTTCTACGACCTATCACAAACATTAGAAGCATAAGGGGTGACATAGACTAGTTTTTATTGATGTTGTAGTAGTTTTTTCTCGACATGAAAATGAGATCATTGTCAGCGTATATTGACCGAAATTTCCTCATTTCGAGCATAATTTTTACGTTGATCAAAGAGATCTATATAGATTACATATATTTGTTCAGTTGTTAATTCCCTACCTTTTGGTATATTGCATAAAAATAGTATAACGGTTTGTTAAAATGTTGTTTTCTTGCAACAAGGTATAATAGTGATAATTAGTCTGTATCAATTAACTTTTCAAAGAAACATCTTTTCTACTAGAAATAATGTTGGTGATAGTTTTCATTTTGTAGATTAATTATGGAAGCTAAAGATCTTCAAGAAATAAACACAATTGTTGAAGAATATGAAGAGAATGAAAATATTCTCGACAAAAAGACAAGCGAAGCATTGCGCTTGCAAAATCCAGCGCAAATTCTAACAAATCTTTATTTATCTTCGGTTGAACCAGCAAAGGACTTGATTCTTTTGAAACAACTACAAGTGAATTATGTCCTCAATTTAACGGGTTACGAGTATAACTCAGATGAATTGTGCTGCGCAACCAATTATCCACCTGAAATTACGGCTAAACATATTATAATAGCTGATGAAATGGACGTCAAACTTTCTGATTACTTGGACGAAGCACTAGACTTTATTCATCATGCTATTGGAAACAATAACTCAAATAAAATTTTAATTCATTGTGAAGCAGGAATCAGCCGTTCTCCCTCAATAATCATTGCTTACTTGATGCGATATCATAATCAATCTCTCAAAGCTGCTTATGACTACGTGAAAAAATGCAAAAATAATGTAGGTCCAAATACCGGTTTTTTCAAACAACTGATTCAATTTGAACAACAACTCAGTAGTAATAATAATATCAGTGACAACAATAATTTCAAACCATCAATTTGTTTGCACGATTATTTAGTACAACAAATGTCAGAAGGTGCAGCTGCTGATTTTACTCGTGATCAAATATCAACAGCATTGGAAAAAACGAATGATCAACCTAATATAGCTTTAAATTTATTATTTTCGTCTATGTAACGTCTTTTATTGCGTCTGCAGTAATAATCAGATGGGTGTAGTCCTTCTTTTATCTCACACCCACACCCACACCCTATGATCGCTAGGACAGGCGATTAAGACGCAACTCTCATTCTTTTCACTAATCGTTTAATTCTGTGGATGGTTCATTTAGATAATAGAATATGTTATTGTAGTAGTTCATGGAAATTATGAATCTAGGACAAAACTATTGATAAAACAGCACTGGTATTGGATTATATAGAAAAAGTCTATTGATTGTCTCTTGATATCATGTAGAAGAGTTTTGACGCATTTCCAATCGGACAGTATTATACGAACGTGAGATTTCAATCAATGGTCGTACACCTAACAGTTGTTCTCGTAACCAATCGACAAGTTCATTTTTTGAAAAAGTTTCCTCTGGCTGGTCATATTGACAATACACATACAAGGATCGTAGATTAGGCATCATTTTGACCAGATAACATATTGATGATCGATGTGTTACATGAATGCGAAGTTCTTCACATTGCATAGCAAAAGGTGAACGACTCAATCTCATACATTGCTCTTCATCAAATCCGTCAGACAATTCTCCTAGATCGATTCGTTTTATAGAAACATGCTTTGTTCCCAATAGTAGGTCTACGGCATGACCGCTATTGAAAAATATCCATATACTTAATGATGATAAATGAGAGGCTCGAGAAAGTAACAGTTGAAATTGTTTTGTACATTCTTCATTAATATCACTCGCTTGTACTTGCAGTGAAGTCAAATGATCAAATGTTGGAACGATTGACCAAAAATAATCATCGACAGGAAGTCTTATTCTCATTTTTTCTGGTTTATTAAATTGAATATCCGATAGTTGGGAACATGTCGAAGGCTCAACATCGTATGTTAATTCACGTACACAATCATATGTCTGTAGATTTTTCTCTTGAGGACAAGTGGATTTACTGAGTAATCGACCATAAACGGAAAAATCGTCAAAAGCATACGGTAAAGTATAGATAAAAATCCATCCTCTCGTTGGACATGAATCACATCGAACAAACCATCGATGTTCATCAACCCAAAATGGACTTCGAAATGTGTTGAGTAATTGCTCAGCTAGTTCTTGGGGCACGTCATTTATTTCATACGTATATTTCATTCTAAAATGAAATGTTTTGAGTTTGGGTAAATGATTCGAAATGATCTGTTTCCAATCATGTCCATCCAGCAGACGATTGCAGTCTACTTTTAATCGACATATATTGGGCATCCATTGCAAAATATCAGGCCTTAGATTCGTGTCACTATCATATAACGATATCTCGAAAGAAGTAATTGATGGAACTGGTGACATTGAGAATTGGATAAGACAATTGTTGACAATTGATGTCGAGAAGTGTTGAAGATTTGGTGTATATTCAAAGAGAAGACCCAGTTTTAAAACATCATCATAGACATGAAACACAAACAGATGTGTAATACTTGATGATGTCACACTAGGCACTGGAAATCTGCCCAATGGCAAATGAAAATAACACTGAGTGAGCTTTGGTAAACTCCATATGCAATCGACAAAAGGAAGTCCAGGTGATAGAACCTTAGCGAAATCCTTTCCCATAAGACAATATTCGAGACTCAAATGAGTTAGATTGACTAGGTAAGGTAATGCCAACATGATTTTATTGATGAAATCTTCATCTGAAAGATAATTTAATGAAAATGATTTTAATCGAACAAATCGATCTAGTGAGAAACCATCATCATTCAATCGATTAACTAATTCAGATGGACCATTCCTTTCTGATAAATATAATGCCGGTACTTTATCAATCAAAGTTGGAAGATATTCTCGACAGATTGTATCGAAATCACATGAGTATATCGATCGAAAATCGAGACCATTGATGGTAAAATGACGAAAAAGAAGGAAATTAAATCGAGAATTGAGACCATGAAATGCATAGATCAGATGATTAGTAGAGAGATATTCGAACAGATAAAGTAATAATTCGTTGGCCAAAGATTCCAATATCATTTTTGTCTTCTTTTTTCGTATTCGTCAAAGCAATCCAACGGCAAGCGATCTGTATTCACGAAGGATCTGAAAAGAAAATTAAATATTGACTATTATGACTTTCTTCGTCGATGTACAGATAAGGAAGAAATACTGTTATCAATTTGTTTTCGTAGTTTGACTTCGATCTTACAAGTTCTTCAATCATAAAACGCAATAATGAGATAAAATATTTGTGAACATCAAGAATTCATCAAGCGATAATCTGCTTCCGTTCGACTGTCGATCAACGAATCAAATACACGGACGAACAAGGAGTCTTGTGAATCATACTTACAAATACGGTCTTACCTAATAAGACTAAAATGTGCGCAACATTGTCCAAAAGAAATGTTTCGATATGACGACCATGCCATATATTTATTCATTTCTTTGTTTCCTGTTTTCGCTTCTTCTCATCTTGCTCAAAATACAAGGTCGATGAATTAGTCGTCATGTAGAAAATCCATTTGTCATTTTACGTGCTGACATGATATCAACGAAATTGTTTTTTTGATTGGTTATGACTGTCATCACTGAAAAGCAATGATTCACGACACTATAATGGAGGAGAATGAGGTGTCTCTACTCTCTACATCAAACATGAAATTTTGTGGACAGATGAAGAACGCTCTGATCAATAAATAAATGCTGAAAACTTCAGACCTTTGATTTTTTTCGTTCATTGAATTCTGAGATATTCTTTGAAGAAAAAAAAACGACCGTTGGTCTAGTCTACTTGCTGCATCCAGAAAGAAATCTGTCCGAAGTTCATTTTGACAAACAAAAGTTTAAGTTTTCACACCTTGTGATGGGTTTTACAGTTGTGTTTCTGTGTTTGAAAAAGAATACTTCCTATGATTTCTAAGAGCTTTTAGACTTTGAAGAGTTTTACAAGCTTGCATACGATATTATTTGACCTTATGAATGCTCGAATGTTAATAAGTGGATGAAAATATAGTTAGATAGGCGCAGATAAATAGATAGGTAATTCATTGGTTAACTGTGCAGGCAGAAAGAGAAATAGATAAACAGTTCAATAGCTTTTTAGTCTTTTCCGTGTTATTCTGTGTAACTCAAGCTAGTTTTACATGCACTCATTACTTATTCTACCAATAATAGATTTGATGATCATATATGTCTTTTGTTGATCAAAAATATTCATACCCAGATTTATTTCATTCGCATTGTGTACACACTTTTCTGCTTTAAGCTGCGTCTGTTATCCAATGTAGATAGATATACTATACGATTCAGTATATTCAAAATTTTGCATTATATATAATAGTTAATAAATAAAGAAAATTGTGTAATACAGAGAGGAAAGAAAAGATAAAAGGAAGATTTAATTAATTAATTAGGGTGTGGCTGCGGCTGTCGGATGGGGGTGGAGTGTGGGTGTGGGTGGTTGTCGATGTATCTGTTAATATTCTCCTCATCCATACCTCATCCACACACCACACCCCACCGATACTCACACCCACACCCACACCTACACTCACCCCACAATCGTTCTTAGATTATGCAACTAAAATCAAATGCTTTAAATTTTGAAGGAATATGTTAGTAAAATCTCATGTCCATCTCTCTTTCTCTCTCTTTTATATTCATCATTATTATGATGAATAATATTTGTAATTGAAAGTAATTTACATTTTCGAATTATAATTACTTAATACAATCTTAAATGGTTGGATTTGGAATAATAGAAAATGAGAATAGAGTTTGTATCAGAGACCGCCACAAGGCATATACAGGTTAGAATAATATTTCTAAACCGAATATGTCTATTGCAAGGTTTTAAGCTTCGTTAAAATAATGATAATCTCAGGTGCTTTTAGTTACTAAATCCAGTGGAATACCAGATTTTTCACTAGAAAAAAAAAATTTTACTAGGAAAAAAGTAATTTTAGTTGCAAAAAATTTTTTTTAATATTAGGGTTACGTTTTCTTTACTTTATGAAATAAATATAAGTACAATCTTTACATTTATAAAATAAACAACAGTAAATTCTTTAAATTTTTTTTTAAATAAAGATTCAAAAATTTTTTATTTTTCAAAAAAGAAATAAATAGAAAAAAAACTATTATTTAAAAAATGAAGATAAATGAAATCTTCATATTTACAAAATAAAAATATAGATCTTTTCTTATTTACCTTTTGTATAAAGCAAAGATAAAATAAATAATGAAGAAATCCTTTCTATAAGAATCTAATCTTTAATTTTTCACCAAGTAGCTCATAAAAAGATACGACACCATAGATGGAAATGAAATATACAGAAAATTTTTCTTGCATATATATTCTTTTTTTCTTGTACTCGCTTGATTTTCTAATGATATCACATGTCGAAGTGATATTCATGACAAGAAAGAATATTGATTAAAATATCCAGTTGTTATACTAGGTATTTGTCTATTTATCTATGACAGAACAAATCTTTCTTTATTCTTTATTTTTAAATAATAAAGATTTTTTTTTTTCATTTTTATTTCTTTCTCCAATGCAAAGAATTTCATTATTTTAATTTTAAAAAGATAGATATTTTATTTATACTTATTCTTTACTATAATTAAAAATAAAGTAAGACCTCTATTTGCTGCTGAAAAACCAAGTTTCTATGTGGGTGTGAGTGTGTGGGTGAAGAGAATATTAACAGAGATCGACAACCACCCACACCCTCATTTTTATAAAACTTTTTTTTAAAAGAATATATTCTAGTAGAAAAACCTATCTTATCAACCGTTAACAGTTAAAAAAGCATATATATTGACGAAACTTCATGCTTAAAAATTTATATTTATTTTACTATGTCAACATTCGAATCTCCTTCTATAGATTAGGAATTAAGTGAGTACAGAACACAAGATCTTCCACCACCCGTACAGGCGTTTTCTCAATCTTACCGTTTAATAAGACATGATCAGCATAAGATTTTGAGACTAGTCGATATTAGCTTTCCTGGACAACAAAAATGAAAAGTATTTGAACAAACCAGATTGGAAAACAGAATTACAGAAAAAAAATTATTCTTATACAAGCTTAATATTTTGCTTGTTAAGCAATGATTGTGATGATGCTATAGGATTACTTTTAACCAAATGAGTAATCAATGATAAGGGTGTGGGTATGATACAGATCAATGCTACAACCACACCTTTGCCCCACACCCAATTGATAATTTTGATTATGCTCATACGATTTTGAAATTATAATCGCTAAGATTCTTCACTGAATATCTGAAGAGACCTGAAGGAGAGGATGCAGGGTTTTCGCGAAAAACATGTTTTCAGTTGGAAAGGCTATTTTCAGAGAAGGAAATAAAGGATCATATGCTTATTTACACTAGGTAAAATTTATCTGATATGATATAAAACTTTTTGAGTATTTTCTAGATGAACTTGGGGTACGATTCCTATAGAAAAAAGCACATTGTTTGGTATTTTTCTATAAGTCTTCTACGACCATTCTTGGAGATCCCATAAATATTTCAATGATATAGAATCATTTAATATCATTAACAAATTCATTATTAATTTATCATATGAATTTTTAATATTCTTTTTTCATGTTTGTTTGTTTGTTCGAATATGGTGAAACACGTTCATTAATCTTCAATAGAAATATGAGTAAGTTTCGTTAGAATGATTATTTTCTTTTAATAATAAATCAATATCGAATTGAACTATATTATCTTCATAGTCATTGTAAAAATCAACATGATATGATTTTTTTATTTTATCTTTTATTAAGATCTCATATGAAAAAAATGTAATGAAGCATATGATAGAGAGAGAGAGAGTAATAGTATAAAGAAAAAAACTAACAAATACTTAATGATGAAGAAGAACAAATAAGGAGTAAGAAATAGAAAAAATAAACAAAAAAACTGGTGTTAAGATACATGAAACATGGAGTAAATCAATAAGTAAATATATGTAATTGAAAAGTGTACATTTTCCAAAGCAAATTGTGTCTGGAAATTCATACATTACTAATACTCTTCCGAATCATCGGAAAAATTAGATGTAGAGGAAGATGAACTACTAGTCGTGCTTTCGTTTATTGATGTAGAATTTGACACTGGTGCCGAATTCTTATTCTTTGATGATGATGATAGTGCAAATTCTGATCCCATCCGTTTATTAAATGATTCTTCTGTTATTCTTTGTCGTTTCGTTTCTTCTTTTTCTTCGAGTTTTTTCCGTCTGGTTTCTTCTTTTTCTTCGAGTTTTTTCCGTTTGGTTTCTTGTTTTTCTTCGATATTTTTTCGTTTTGTTTCTTCTTTTTCTTTTATTCGTATTTGTTTTGTTTTTTCCTTCTCAATTCGTAATTGTAATTTTAATATTTCTAAACTTTGAGTTTGATCACTATTCGTAGTCATTTTTTTTTGTTTACAGTTTGTAATCTAGAAACAAGGAAAAAACAAATACATAATAGTTGTAATATTCGATAGTTGATCTCTAATGTTTTATTTTCCTTTTCAAAAGTTTCTCGCTTTGATAAAAAAAAAAAATCGAAATTTCAAAATTCATTAACCATCTGAAAAAGATTCTGCTTATTCTGAAAATGAGAACGATAGGTTTTTATTTTTTATTTTTGTCTTAGATGAAAAAAAATTTAAACCTGATTACATCAACTTGATAGTTCATAATTCATAGTAGGACTGAATTTTTATTGTTTATATCTTATATATTATGAAAGTCTAGTCTTTATTTCAAATAGCAAAGATATACTTACATTAAACCAACAAGGAAGAGAACCAAGTGCTATGCGAAAAATGTTTAAGGTGGCAATTTATATCTGGATTGAGATTAATTCTGACTGGGACAGTGGATAAACTGACTAGTCCGATTGATTCTTTTTTCTCAGACTATCTTGCCGGACGAAAGCATTTATATAAATGTTAATTGCATTTATATGTTGCGGCCGAACTGAGAATTCAGCCCAATTCAGAATTCGACCAACAATTTTGGACGAATTCTGAATTGGGCTGAATTTCAACTTCGGCCATAACATATATACACCTGACTGACTATCTTTGTTTTTTGTTTGATGAATATTCGACCAACAAGAAATATAGAAAAACTAATGTTGTCGATAACAATAGAGATAGAGTTTTTTTTATTCCTTATGTCATCATTTTTATGGAAATATGGTTCGGTGACGGCGATTTGGCTAACACTATCGCTGATAGAGCTTGATCAAACGATATTTTGGTAGAAGAGTCTGATTCTACAGGATATATGAACTGATTACATGATGTTAGCTAAGTATTTGGAGTTCAAAGATCTATGTGCTGGTGTATCATCGTTTGAAGAAAAGAAAGATACTAAAATGCATGAAATGTATCGATTATTGCATGGATAACTGCAAGTCGTTGTGTTTTTCAAATGGATCGTTCTTTTCTGAACAAATTCGAAATGATCAATGTCCTTCTCATAGTTAACATAAGCACTAGAATCATAAGTTTTATTCTTATCATAATAATAAAAATACAGCAGAACAGTCGAAATTTTGATCATCGAATACTTATTCCCACGTTGGCAGTGATTATCAGAACAAGAAACCAAACAGGCAAACAATACCAAATGTTCTTCACCAAATCTAATTTAACTGCATTCATGTTCATAGCATCTATTCAATAGAAATCTGCTTGTCAATAACTGTCTAGCATAGATTTTCAAACTCATTCAGTAGTATTTTCATAAAATATCGGTGATTGAAGTAGCAATTTTCCAAATGAAAATGGGACACCACAAAGAAGATTGAATATCACCGAAGTTTTGGCATAAGATCATATCAAATCATGTATAAATCTTGCATTTATTACAGATCCATTTTCATGTGATAGCTTTCTTCTTATAAAGCTCAAATATCAACCATACGAAAATAGATTTAGCAACATTCAAACAATATTATATGCCCTAGTACAAATCTTTATCGATCTCACAAGAGAATATCTCAAAAATGACTTCCTGGCCATTGTTTAATTAAGTGTATAGACGCTTTGAGCATTAGGAATGATAGTTTGAAAAAACTACACTAGAAGCAGACTTGAAGCATTTCTCTAAAGAATTGACGAAAAACCTTTTGAAGTGCTCCTTGTAAGTTCAACTGAGAGCGCTCAATGAAAAGTTACCTTTCAACTTGAAGATTAATTATTATTCTACTCAATTGGAATTTTCAATTCGGTTCTTTTTTTTTACAATGTAACGATGAATCTCAAGCATGATCGCAATTAGAATTTTTAAAGTTCGTTGATGGTCAGTGTAGTTGGTAAAACTGAAATAAGAATGTAGGTATGAGTCTTCTCTCTAACTATACCACACCCAAACTCACCAATACCCATCCATATCCACACCGACTCACATCCTTACTTCTCGTAGTGCACTCACTTGAGTAGAGAGCTTTAGTTATGTATTGGAAAATAGAATAACAATCGAGTATTATTCTGTTACATATTACTGTATCGATATTGATATTACTTCCTACTGATTTTCTTTTCCTCTATCCTATGTTCATTTCTTTCTCTCGTGATTGAGATTGGCATAAAGCAACTCGTTGAGTATATTATGGTAACAACACTCAGGTAATAGTTTACAGACAGAGTGTAACATTTCAGTGGAGACACAACAATATTCGATCGCATTCTTAATTTCTCTATGTCGGATTTTCATACAATTTCATCGTTCATCGTCGAAAGAATGATATTTCAATTAGCTAGGTGGCTATCTCACTGGTTTATAGTTTAATTAAACTAGTATTTTCGATTTGAGACGTTATATCTGAATCAGTATTATGAAAACTGTTTGTTATTTGAATTTTATAAACCTAAGAAACTCTCACAATGAAAGTAGATCTTTTCGTAGAATGTCAATGAATTTCTGATCGTGACAGATAAATAGTGTAGAAAATGCGTTTTACTCGAATGGTCAGTGATGACGTGAATCAAAGATTCGACTGTTTTTTCCCACTTCTCTGGGAACAAGCATTTATATTCTAGTATCCTGATCCTTGTGATATCAAAATAATTTGTGCCTAATACTAAGAATATTGTAATCTGTAGTATCATGCATGTTCTATCGAATATTTGTTAGTTTTCAAACCTTAATAATTTTAATTTCATTTTCCAGTAATTGTAACGATATCGATACATCTGTTCTCTCTTACAATTATCTTGTCTTTATTCCTATCCATTCCTCTTTTCTGGTTACGTAAATAAACGTGTGTTTTGTATATTAACGATGCGTTTGATAATGTGAGAAAGCTAAATAAAGCATTATTCTATTAGCGCTAGTATCTCTTCTATCAAAAGTTATCACGGTAGTAAAACTTCATCGTATTCTAGTGTAAGTTTGATAACTGTTTTACTATCTCATTACTGTTTATTTTCTTTGAAATACTTCCCAAAATGATTATTTAGTTCGATAACCATTGGTTTAATTATTTAAGTTAGAAATGAAACGTGCGATAGAAATTGTAGACCACATGAATATTGCTGATCAAATACATGATGATAATACTAGGCTCTATTCGTATTCCAGATCGTCCACTATTTTATTATACAATATTGAATGTTCTCGATTTATGCAATTTCTTACTTCAGGAACATATGATACGGCAGAGTTTTTTCAAGACCTGTTTGGAGAGTATATATAACGGATTGAGTAAAAGTTCTGTATAATTTTTTTTTCTATATGACACTGTGATGGAATGTCGTAAAGATTTCATTGTTTTTTCTGTTAGAAAGAGCGAAGCGTCTGGTGCAAAAGTACACAAAAGAATTTTATTACAAATATTTTTCAAAGCCTATAAAAGTTTTAGAACAATAGACTTTAGATAATTCTTTCGCAATTTTTCTCTAATTTTTTTCATACAAATATATTTGTTTGAACTTTTCATTATTTACTTTCATTGTTTTCGAACACCCTTGATATATATAGTTGTTTATTACAAACGAAGAGTTTCGTGTGGTATTTAAAAAATTGATTTAACATAGAAGAGAATTAACAACAGACAATCTGGTTAAAAACATTAATTTGACGTATTTGGGACGCACAACGCGAAAGAAAAACATGTTTACCAGAACCTGTCACAGAGAATCTATGTCCTATGTCATATAAAGTTTATTGCTTTTAGTAATTTCTCTCTCGAAATAGGCTTTATTCTTTTGATTATAATCGATACCAATGAGCGTGTGGGTAGGTGTGTGATTAGAGGAAAAACATGATCCAAACCTACACCCACATTCCGTTGCAGTAGTATATACATATAGCGCGTCATCTCATTTTCGAATATAAAATCGAAATGAAAAAATGTATTAAATTCAATATCGATGCTGCTTTTTTCATATAAGAGAATATAATCTGATACTTTCTTTTTGTTGTTAAAGCTGTTAAAAGTTTATTGATAACAATGTTGATAAAACTTGTATCTTGCATTTTACCTGCAACTAAGTACAATTCATAGATTCGAGTCAACATAATTGTTACTATGGATCTTATGAGTTAGTTTTAGAATTTGAACACAACATCTACGCGTTATGATAACATGGAATCAAACATTCAACAGACACAAACTAGTCGATGTGCAACAGCGTGTACACACAAGGATGAGAAATATAGAAAATGATGTTCAAAATTAAATCACTTACAATTATGGATATTGGTCACTGTTTTCACTCGATTCATGCGCATTCTCATCATCTACTCATATTGAGTTCACAATAAGGAGTCACTTTGTTTTATAAATTGTGATCAAACCAATTTCAAACATTGTTTTGACTTTAATTAAGATTCTTCTTGGCTAGACATAAACTGGTGAGTTTTAATCAGTTCAAAAAGTTTCTTTGATCAGACACATAAATCTCCTACCCTAAAATAACATTGCATTAAAACTTTGTAAAATAAATTTTCTATAGATCATCTCATCAATTGTATCTTTCAAATTCGACGAATACATTTAATTGTCTTACCAAAAATTAATTACATGATCAATCTGAGATCAAGCGAAAATTTAAAACCATTACATTTTACTTAAACTTGTCTTTCTTGATATTTTCAAATGAGAATCAACTATATGACAAATATTTCACGATAAAAGATTTTAGTAACTAACAATAGAAATAAAAATAAAATAATTTATGATCATGAACAATGATTAGCAATTTATTTTTTTTCAACAACTACATCATATGTTTTTCCTGCGGTAATGTATCCTAACACAGAACCTGATATACCTCCAGCAGAACCACCACCAATCGCTCCCAATGTCGTACTGAGAGTGGTAACTGTCGCAGCACCAACAAAACCTCCTGCTAATCCACCTGCTAGAGCACCAACAATAGCACCTGCCAATTGTCCAGTCGCCTTGTTGTCGGAGATGAATTTTCCAGTTGCACCCGATAGGCCACCAGTAGCACCACCAACCACCAAGCCCCATGTTATAGGATTGACAGCCATGATGTTCAATTTATCTTTGAAGAAAATCAGCATAAAGTCATAAGAAAAGAATTTTTAGTTTATTGTTCATGTTTCATTGACCTGGATAATTACTCGTATCGATTTGAACTAAGGGTAGTCGTTAGACTTTTCGAAAGCTGAAAGTGTGTTTTGAAAGAAGTGAAACCGAATATAACAAAAGAAATCTAGATTAGATATTAGTCAGAAAGAAAAAGTAGGAAAAGATAATGAAACAAATAATTCTAATAGTCGATTTTCTTTTCATATACATATATCAATTGATACATTTAGTTTTTTGATTCGTGAAAATTGGATCCGACGGATAACAAAAGAAATTTGAGATAAGAGTAATATAAAGGTAATTTCGTAATAGATGGCATCTCTCAATATTTATAAAGGAAGTTTATGCTTCTTAAACGAAAGTCGATATATGAATCTCAACTTTACTAAGTACTAAAAGCTTTGCTTCATTTTACTACAATCTTATACAACGACCATACTAAAAAAAAAGTAGAATATATTCTTTCGTCTTCTAAATCCAACAAGAATAATTTGTCATTCAATTACTCACGTGATAATGTGATGATGAAATTGAAGAAAATATTTTTGATTATAGACAAATAATGTGTGTAGATTTTTATTCATACAACACTACTTATATACTATTTTGCCCAGTACAATTCTCTTACAGTGGATTTTATTTAATGATACTAGTTATTGTTGACTTCGCATATCATGATGCAATCGTCTGACTTACTCAGATGGTTTCTTCCATGCACATGCTTTTTGGCTTATTCTAGAATAATTGGAAAAGTTTCATGGTAATTATTCTTCTACCCATCGTTTTCTTTTTTTCTTCCTTATCTACATCCATTGGATGTTTATTTAATGCATACTTATTTCCATCACAAATATTTTGCGATTTAGGAAAAAAACCAACTTATGATGTCTATAGTAGTCACGAGGCATACAAAAACGAGAAATGACACTCACAAGATACACTTAATATTTATCGACACTCACAAATATTTAATTAAAAATTCGTCAAAAGGTATATCTTTGTTTGTTTTTATCATATAATTTAGCTGACGAAGAATCGTTTACAATTGTTTCTTTTCGTTCGAGTTTTTATTTTTATTTTTCGTAAGAAATGCCAGTTTAAAATAGTTCAAAACATAAATAAAAACATACACACCATGTTTCGTCTCGTAAGCATTTACTGGCTTGATAACAGTTTCAATTTCCGAATCTATTAACAAGATGTTTCATGAAACTGATTGATATTAAACAATCTCTTTTTGTTTTCCCAAACAAGATCGCTATGCATAGTAGCGAACTTCGAAACATCAAATGAAGTTGGAAGAAAACACAAATATCAAGAAAATCTGTTAACAACGTCAAAAGAAGATAAATTTTGGAAAATACGTGAAGATAAAATCACAAAAGGACAAGAAAAAAAGAAAAGACTGTATATATGTGTATATACATATACGTAGTAATTGTTATCAAAAGAAGAAAGAAAGAAAGAAAAATAAAATAAAATATAAGTGAACAACACTAAAACAAGATCAAATATTTAATTCTCAGAAATGTTGTCTGTAGAAGTCATTTATTATTAATCGATGCTCATGTCTTTGTTGCTCAACAGATTAAATAAACAATATGGCATGCCCATTGAAATATGGTGGGGCAGCTGGAGGTTTTGTTGGTGGAGCTGTTGGTGGTATAATCGGAGGGGTGGCAGGACTTACGACTAATGACAGAGAGTTCGGACAAATGGTAGGTGGGGCTACTGGTGGTGCAGCAGCGTTACTTACAGGGGGTGTTGTCGGATATGCAATAATGCCGACTCCGATGGGAGCGATTGAAGGTGGCGCATCGGGAGGCATTGCTGGTGCTACTACTGGCTACAAAGCTGCTGGAATATTCTACGATGGTTTCAAATGAAAGTAATGATAAAACTCAAAAAGTAACTATTTTTTTCGATAGATTTGTTTTCTTTTGTTTGAATAAATCATTTGTTATTATGCAAATTGACTCATTTGAGTACGACTTTGCGTAACGGGTACACGTAAGTGGAATTTCAATATAGGTAGAAACGAAGTTGTCACAAGATTCATTTTAAACAGGATAATTTATTCATCATTAATTATGCCAAATAACTCCTAAATGATTAATTCTAAACATCTGATTCTTGTACAACTTTTTAGATCTTCCATTGACAGTTTGAATACATACTTAACAATTGAAAATTCGTTGTAAACACTTCACGAGTTAGGTTTGTTTTTAAAGAGATCGAATGAACATCTTAAAAAAATTAGGTCAAACAAGCCTGCAACATGGGATTCGATGCATCTTCTTCTCCTCTTTCAAACAATGAAAACTCCAGCTCTCTAACTCTTTCCATTCTTGAGTTACTGCAAGAAATAATGACGGTCATTAATTTTTTAAATAGACTCAAGTCTCACACAAATGCAGTTCTTAGCAAAATTTTACTATTGTGATAACAGTTGAAGATTGATCAAATAGCATAGAAAAATAGAGCATCATTTTCTTTATCATTGCATAAAAATAAAACACTTTTTTAAGTTTACTATTCGAAAATAAGGTATCCCCAACAGAAATTTTGGATTGACCTAAGTATTTACTCACATTTGCAGCTTCTTTCTAAATTGCTGCAGCTACCATATGTTTATTTCGGTGCCGCTAGATATACATTCGATAATGCAGTTCTCTCACGATATTCGTTCAGAACTACTAGCAATCATCAGTTGTCTAATATTGAACGTTGCGAAAAACGAGCAATGTTAGCAGTAAAGTGTGAAGACCAATTCTCAAAAGACAATGATGCTATGATTTATGTCATTCACTTTGATCATAGGAATGAACAGTTTCGTTTAGCACAAATAAAGGAATTAGAAAAATATATACAGAGTTCCAATGGTTTTCAATTGAATGAACAAGCGGCCACCTATGCTTATGGAACTCGGATTAATTACATCTGGAGATGAGAAGAGCTGAAAAATGGATGCCAAATGGATGAATGTCGAATTTCTTCAACACAAAATCTAACGAATCCACGATGACGTTTTGATAATATTTTCCAAAAGGCTATCAAACACCAGCAATGAATATAATTAAAAAGACGTTTTAGATTTATATCCATAATGATTTTGTTCAATATATCATAACCTATGCATCAATATTTATAACGTTTGAACAAGATAATCTTCATGAAGCTATTTCCAGAAAATTCAAATGTTTTTCAATGTTAAAAAATTTAAATACCAAATACAAACAAACAAATTAATTCCTTTTTTTTATTGTGAAAAGATAAAAATGAAAACGAAAAAAAATAGATCTATTATATTAATTTTGATAAACTTCTCTATTCGTAGATTATTTTTTGTCATCAACTGGCGAAATGTTTGTGCTGATAAATTTTGACAATTAATTATCGGATTATAATTTGTATTTTTTGCTCTAGAATTATTAAAACTATTAGAACATTTTATCAGTCTATCACGTATTCCCCATCAAGGCCATTTGATCATCGAGGTTGAAGTGTAATTTTTATGCATCAATAGATCCCTAGCATTAAACTAGAATGATGAAAAACAAAATTTTTAAACTGCTTCGATTTAATTTGATTGGAATATCAGTGTTGAAACATACAGGGCTCTTAGAAATGCTAAAAGAAAAGTTATCTCCATTGATCCATTTATCTCTCCGTCAGTTTTTAATCATTGTGTTTAAGAAACATCTCATTTCAGAGAGCACATAAATCCGAATAAAAACATATTGAATAGGCTTCTAAAAAACTGTTCTTTGATTTAACGAAATTTTTTCGATTATAAATCCCTTTTCAATATGATTGCTAATCAAGGTGCAATTGTAATATAATGCATCTTGTAGAGAATTTTGCGATCTATATAAAATCATTATAAAGATTATGAAAAAAAAAAGTTTCAAAAAAGGCGTAAGGGCATTATTTCTGGGAAAGAATTTTACCTTCTCTTGGTTCATATTGAGCAGATTTTGTTTAGAAAAACTATGATTTGATCAAAAGTAATATATTATTTTGCATCAACGTTAGAAACTGAGTCAAACTATGTGTATTTTAAACATCTTTGAGAAATATTCTTAATCGAAAAATTCACTCCTAGTCTCGCTCAAAATTTACTCAAAAAATTATTTTGACAATTGAAAACAAGTTTTAAGATTTTAACATGATAGAAAGCTACAAAATGGAAGATGATTAAGCAGTTAAAATAAGGTTTAGATATGAATCTTCACTTCACGCATCCCACATACTAGTTTTGTTTTATTTATTACATCAACTGACATTTCTTTATAATTGAGTGAATAATTATTTAAATTATAATCAATAGTTGTCTTTATCGTTACTTAGAACGTATTTTATCATACAGAATTCTTCAGCAACAATCAATTTATTGAATTGTCTAATACAATCTTAGAACTGATAACAAAATATTTACTAATTTCAAGGAGAAAAAAAAACTATCGACAATATTCTCTGGCAAACAGAATATACTTGATTTCATCTATTAAGATTTGTCATTATTTAAAGACAAATCAACATTTATCAGTGATATGATCTCCTAAGTTTTTGATATACTTGACAATATTCTTTCGATCTATTATCTAAAATCATACATCTCTGAAATTCTTAAAAACACATGATTATTTTTGTGTTTAAGATTAACAAGAATTCATATTGAAGATAAGGCAAAAAGACAAATGAAAAAAGAATTCTTTCTCAAAGGTTTCTTTTCCTATTGCAGAAAATGTAGTGAATCATAAAAAATCTAACTCAATCAGAAGCTTTAAATTTTCATAATCACTCTAGAATATCAAACAAGATCCTAATATACAAAGATGATTCAAAACTTTTAAGTTTTAAGTAGTAAGATATTTGAAAGATTTATTGACAACTAAAATGATTATACCAATCAACACTAGCGTGATCAAGAAATCATGAAAATAAAGCACTGTGATTACAATTCTATTTTTGACTTCCATACGTCAAAATATTATTAAACCAGATATTATTATTTCAGTAGTAAAATCTGAAGTCTAAGTGTTTTGATTCAGCTTAGATATGCTTGTCTCTCGATTGATTGTTTCCATCAATTAAGTCTAACTTTATGTTTTGTAGAAACTACAACATCACCAAGGAAAATCAGAAGGAAAAGTACATGCTAATTTATTACTATAACGAAAACGTTCAGTTAATAAATGAATCGTTTGTAGTTCTATGAGAGAAGGTGTGGATGTGGATAGATGTGAAGAGAACACTCAGGCTACACCCACACACCTATATATGCTGTACAAAGTCTTCTTTAACGTAAATTACATAAGCTGTAATTACGAATATTTGAGGGCGAACAACTGCGATCTGTATTTAACAGATAAGAAGAACCTTTGCAAATCAACATGAATGTAGGTATATGAATGTATATACTAGAAGACATCAACACCCACACTCACACTCATATATCGATTTATTTATTTATAACTTGCTCGGTCTTTGCTGTTGTTCTTTACAACATTGTTGATTTGCCTTTTAAAACTAAATTCACACCTACTCCACATCCCGCCATGATATTTAGTCGCAGTGTAGAATTCGTCGCAATTCTTGGAAACAAAATAGTCAAACAACTTTTCTTAGTACTGTCGATGAATAAATCAGAGAAGTTCAGAACATAATTGGCAATCAATTCAAGAGCAAAATGTGTTCAGTGAACTCCTATAATTAAGTATGAAGCCTTACACGAGTACGTTGATGTTGCTTTAGAAATTTACCATAATTCTCTATGATTTTCTCTTATTTTGGAGTTACTATCAATCAATGTATTTTTCATGTTATCGTAACATTTCGATTAATTCAAATGTATGAATGTCAACTTTCAATTAGGATTTACCAGTGAGATCATCTAAGAATCTATTTTCATAGAGCCAATCTTCATTGTTCACATGCTACCGTCATCCTCACGTGGTGCTGCATGTAATTGGGTCAAATATCTAAGAATTACAATTTGTGAAAAATAAAATAAAAATCAAACTTCTGTCTAACATGAGACACATTCTGAATTGCGTCCAATTATTGCTTTCCCAGTGCATGGGTGTGAGTGCTAATGTGGATATTATCTTTATGCACAACACCATTACTAGATCGCAACACGTCACTATAATTACAATTCAATACGTCACTCAAGGCGGATCCTGTTCAGTCACTATGGTGGAACATTTTTGCTATTGGTTTATTACGAACTTGCATTTGGTTGTGCTGTCCATTCTGTTCCCTAAATGTTAGACAAACTTATTTCTGAGCAGGGCTTTGCTTTCTTTACCTCGATTCATTATATGACAACTGTTTAAATACAATAGTCCATGCTTGCATGTGTGGTGATCTGATGCTTTAAAACCGAGCTCAGTACAGTTGTAGATTGTGGGAAAATAGTTATGTAAGATTTAGAATTCGACCCTAGTCTACTTTGAATAAGAAGCTTTAGCTGTTATAAATGATCTTTAAAAACGATTCACTTAGTTAAACATGTTATAAAAATGTGTGAATAGACGCGTTTGACTCGTTTCTCATATAGATTGTCATAACCCCAGTAAGCGCTAACTAACTTCCCATAAATAACAATAGTTGTAACGGTGCAAATACAGAGAAGACTCATACTTTTATATTCAACTTTGCTACGATCGAACGAAATCTATTGTGTAGCGTTCATTAGTTCTGTCTTTTTATGTCTGAAAACAACCGATCAGAACTTACACAAGAAAACAAATATATGATTTACTCGTGCTGTCATTATATTTCATTGACTACGTAGTGATTGTACCTCAATGAAAATTCGATTCTCACAATGTTGCTAGTATATTGACAAATGAAACAATTTTATTTTCGTTGAGAAAAATCATCAAAACTTTCTTTATAAAAATTGACTAAGTAAGTCAGAATGTCATTGTCTTATTGGGTTACTCGGTGCTCTTTCACATATTTATTAAGTTGCTCATGCGTGACCTGGATTCCAGTTGTTTGTAATGATTCCATCAGATATTCAATTTTGATGTCTTGCTTGTCTAGTTTTTCATTCGCTTCCTGATTTTCTTCTTTCAGTATTTCGAGTGCTTGTTGAATTTTCTCAACTATCAATCGATTTCGAAGTGAGATCGAATGAGCAATGGCATGAATAGCTCGAACGATTTTCCATAGACGTAAAATAACAAAAGCAGCAGCTACTCGACCAGAATCATTAAAATGAGCAAAATGAAAATAGACTTCCATGATCAACGAAGCCAGTACAATGCAAGCATCGATTAAAAATAGTGGCTTTATATAACGACGCCATCCAAAAGCATAGAGAGAAAACGATATTTCCAAAACAAAGATACTAAGTATGATAAGAGAAACGTAGTACAGAAAAGCTTCGGCAACTGCTAAGGCTGATGAATGATGCAATATGCATTCACTTCGTTGTATGGTAGTATTGTAAAGTTTCATCTCTTCTTTGGTTAAACATGGTGATGATAATAGTGCTAAACAGAAAAGAATGATTTATTGTTTTTATTGAATAACAACGCATGTAACATTGATTACAGAATAATAAACGATGATAGTAGATTGGAGATACTGTACATAGAATTGTTTTTCTTAAAAACTCATTCTATTCCAAGCAAACATTACTACATTCTCTAGAACACATCAAGTACAATCGATATCTATCTTTGAGTCTCTGACTCTTCAAAAAAGCATGTACTAATGTTTTATTTTAATCATTGATTCAAAGTTTTGATGAAAAAAACGCATAAACTAAAATCGTATACTTTAGTCATCTATCAATACAAGATAATGCTTATTTATGTTATTTGAATATCTAATCGTCTTTATAATGCGATATTATATACTTCTAAGAAAATAATTCACGGCTGCTAAACAAGAAACAATGCAGAAGTATCCTGAATATTTATTCATATGTCTCATTTTTTTTTGAACTTTTTAGAGGTAATCATTTGGCCAAAATGATACTCTGATTTTCATCAGTAGAAAACTACACTGGATCTAAACTTGTTTTCAAGCTGATAATAGATGCAATGCTCTTCAAGATTTAGCATGTAGTCTTATCATTGGTTGATGAACATTGAAGCATTTGTTTTTGAACAAAATGATTGATTGAAAAGCCATAGAAAAATGAGACATGTCAACAAGTGGGTGAAAACTTCTGTCCTGTTTCTGGTTGAATAATCAGGGAAGTACATCGACAAATATTCGATGTAGTCGTACTTGTTTCTGGAAATGTTCCATGTAACAACTTTCGAGAAAAAATACTGACATCTCTGATATGTCAAATAGAACTAATAAAAAATCAATGTCGGCAAATAAATGAATTTGAAACTACCCTAATCTAAAAATGAGAGTCACTTAAATCACATTTTATTCATTTGATATATAGCTTCATATGTAACTGACATTTCAAATGGGTCTGCTTCTTGAAATAGTTCGAGACACTGTCTAATACTATCGAGGAATTTTTCTTGTTAAGATAAACTTCATTTCTACTCTATTACATTAAAAAACAAAACATCAGTCAATGAATGAGGCATGTAGATTTTTTGTATCATACATTATCAATTCGATCTCTCTACTAAGCGATTCATTTAATAAACGTGAACAATTAGAGTCAAATGTCGTCTGATTAAAATTAAAATTTGTAAGTTCTTGAATCTCTTCGTCTGAACTCTTTATTCAAAACCCTAATCAATAAATGTGATTCTTATTAAATAGAAACGAACTGCAGATAGATTCTAAGTTAAATAAAATATACTGGAAATTTTCAAAAGTGAAACTGCTTTGAAAATACTTGGCTTTATTTTTCTTTGCTCTCAGTATCAAAAATGCATCTACTCTGCGGTATATAAAGTACTACCGATAGGCAGTTCCATAAATTCTATAGTTTTCCTCAAACTAAGACTAACTGTGTATCTAGACAAAGGTCAGATGTGGTCCAGTGTTCTTGTGCGCGATCATTCCAAACCTTTATATTCACACCCACACCCACACTCTAAATAATAACTATACGATTTGTGTTAGCAGAATGAATGAACTAATCATCAACGGCTGACACCATATACCCGTAACATACATGCCAGCGTTCATTTGATTCTCTTACAAATGACTATAAATATGATTCGATTTCTTCATGATGATAAGAGAAACCTCATCGTATATCAAATCTTGAGCTCGTAGTCTTTGCACTCAACTTTTATTTAGTGTTCACAAGAATTTTTGAATCACTTTTGAATATTCATTGATTTTAGTTTGTGGATGTCTACTGTATTTGTTTTCGGTTATTTTAAAATTTCGTTATTTATTTTCATTTTGTGTACTCTCAAAATATCAAGATCAGCAAAATTTTCATGATTATTCAGTTTAAGGCTAAGTAAATCACTACTCGATAAACGTGAAATATTACTAATATACTCATTTCGAGTTTTACTAACATGATTACTCACCAAGAACCAAATCAATAAATACAACAATTAAATCGACAATGATCAATATGATAATCGTATAATGAAATGCTGATTTATTAAGGATGCTTCTAAGAAATCGTCGAGATTGTTGAATTTGATGAAGAAAGTTACTAGTTGGTATTGTTTTCTCAACAGCAGCGATCTCTTCTTCCTGTTCTTCTTCTTCGTCTAATACCGTTATTTCATTGATTTCGCGAATCATATCACTAAGTTTGATTTCACCTTTTGAAAGTCTAGAGTCCAAACGAACTATTTCAATTTGATTACTGTTTACTTGACTACTTCTTGTACTGAGTGATAATTGTAATGTATCTGAATTTTCTGGAGTTGGCGTTTTCTCATTGATTTCTGAATCATCGGTAGAATTAGATGATGTTGATATAATCATTTCTGATCCAATTGAACTTTTAGATTCTCTTGCCCTAATATGCATATCTATAATACTATATATATGTAAAATATATACAAAGGCACAAAAGGAATTATTGTTAAATATACAAGCTCTAGAAAATTTCTTATCCTATATATTATGAACAGAATATTCGAGAACAATATTGTGGTGTGTATGTAGAATAGATGACGTGGCTTCCAAAAAATTGACTAGAATAATGTGAAAATATTGAGTCACACTAAGATGAGTATATATTGTGAAAGTAGATCACTCTACTCTTATAAGACTATGCGATTAAAAAATCGAAGCGTTCAAAAAATATACACTTATTTTAAGAACGAACGCCTCGAAAGACATATCATGTTTGAGAATATTTTTGCTTTTGTTTAATAACTGCTGTCAATCTTTCAGCGTTGTATCATCTAAAGTGATGAAGAGCTAAAAATCAAGTTTTAGCTACGTAGATAATAGGCGTGTTACCTGAGAAGGTTGGCCTAGGTTATCTTGAGTATGACTGGAAATATTGACTTACCCTTTAGTTCCTACGATTTTCTCGAAGTGCTCCTTTTATTATCTTTAGAAAATTTTCTTCAAAACGCTCGGACGTTATATTTCAAGAAAATCGTGATCTTTTAGCAATAGACGAAGAAACAAAAGAGTTTTGGAAAAAATTAAGCGCTAAAAAAACTTTTCAACATGAGACTCGCATTCAGCATCGAAAGTTGGACATTTTAAGAAAAAAATTCAAGCTTGTAACACAAAATATGAATTTTTAAATTTAATTTCAAATATTGAAAATTTTCCTTTGTTTTTAAATTGAAAATAACTCAACTTAGTTAGACGATAGACAGCTCATTCAAACGTTAATTGTTAGATAATTCAAAACTGAATAAACTTAGGCATTTTTCAACCTTCACATACTACCTGGGGATGGGTTTAAAGGGGTCTATGGAAAACCCTCTCTTTAATTTTGCTTATATTTTAATTTTTATGAGTCTTAAACTTTATTATATAACTTTTTATGACTTTTAAAGTCGAAAATCATTTGAAAGATTATAGTTGATCAGTCTATCGAGGGCGTAACTATCAGTAGAAAGCGTGGACATGCTTGTTTACAGAATATGTGAAAATGGATGTAATTTACATGTTTCGTGGACAAGTTCGTAGTTGTTATTCTGTCGATAGTTACGTTTCTGCACTCAGCATGCCTCTAACATCTAACATAGACATATTGCAGACCATTTTCTTCATATAATATTAAGCCAGGATAACATTTCTCCTCTTTCACTCACACAACTTATATCTAGACGATGCCTTCATGGTTTGTAATTACCTTGTTAATTGAGTGCTCAATCTATAATCTTTTAAATGATTTTCGATTGCAAATATCAGAAAAATTTGAATAATGAGGTTTAAGACTCATAAAGATACAAATATAAAGAAAATTAACGAGAGGATTTTCTATAGACCCCTAAAAACTCATTACCACGTAGTATGTGAAGATTAAAAAACGCCTAAGTTTACTCAGTGTGGAATGCTCTATCAATTGACGTTTGAACCAGCTTTCTATCGTCTACCTGAGTTGAGCTATTTTAAATTTAAAAACAAAGGAAAATTTTCAATATTTGAAATTAAATTTAAAAATTCATATTTTGTGTCACAAGCTTGAATTTTTTTCTTAAAATGTTCATCTTTCGATGCTGAATCTGACTCTCATCTTCAAATGCTTTTTCTGACGCTCAGTTTTTTTTTCAAAACTCCTTTTCTTTTTTTTCGGGGAGGTTGATGTGGACATCAGTATAGACATTAATGAAGCAAAGATCCACAGCAACCCTAGAATATTACTTGAGGTGAACGTTTTTCAACGTTCTTGATATGCGCAGACCTCAAGATTTAGCTACGGCACATGGTTTTCTTTACATAGACAAGCATTTGAGTGCTTTCATGAGTCATGTGCACATTTAAAGTAACTTATGCAGTGAACGCATGAAAATCATACAAATGAGCGTTCTTGGAACGATCAACTAGAATAAAGTGATAAAATCAAACTTGTTCAAGACAAAAGAATGCGCCTCACTATTCAAGTTTCTGAGGCTAATTACTGATAAAGGTTTCCTTTTAGACTTTCGTATCAAAATGTGTGCTATTTGAAGTGTACATTTTTATTACAAATCGGATTATTTTTCATCATATAGTCGGGAGTAAACAGCGACCTTCAAGACTCCGAGCAATTTTAAGCATAGAGACTTCAAATTTTTAAAAGACTCCACAAGACTTCATAAGACTTCGAGAAACTTGATGGAACTTCATCAGACGTTATCAGACTTCAGCATAACGTCTGATGCAAAAGTAATGGGACGAATGTCAGTCCCTATTTCTCTTCAATAGAAGGGTGCTGGAGGAAACTTTTTTATTAAAAGATAGAATTTTTCCTCTTCCAAACCATATACGACTTATTTTTATCATACGTTCATGAACGAAATGACAAAACAGAAAAGACAAGTAACGTTAAAAATAAATTCTTACTCTTCGTGACATCCATAGAGGCACGAAATGTTGATCCTTATATCTTTTTGATAAACACGTTTGCAAGACATAGTTTTCAATCAGTCGGTAGGACATTGTCCACTCTTCGAAACAGTTAATTATTTATATTTGTGATAGATTCGTAAATAAAATGAGCTCAGAAAAAAGAAGAACCACTTGGACAATAAATTTGTGATTTTTATATGAACTCGTGAAAGGTATGATATAAGACGACTGTTAATTCCATTTTTGAGGATTCGTTGAAAAGATCTTGTATGACGGTAGCTAATTTGATTTTTATGAACTTATTAAAACAATTTTGTAAAGCTACAGTTAAACAAAATAAACTGTCGCCTAAGACTGTGTTTGTGATGAGTTCATATTAAAACTCAAGTCAAACAATCAGACTGGAAGATCGTACATCTGATCGTGTATAATGTTGTAAGATCAGACGAAAATCTTATAAAAAAATCGTGCTCTCAGAAATCTTATGCTAATTCGTACTATAAGAGTCTTGAAAGACCTTGCTGTCTTGTAAGATATCACTAAGAGATTATAGGAAATCTTATGTCATGGGAAGATCTATCAAAAATCTTACAGTACGATTTAAGGTCAGATTTCAGAGATCACGATTTTTTGCACGGTTTTACCTCATACCACAAGAATTTACACCTAATTTTTTTGACCTGGTACCGAAAGTACCTTGTGCTTATGTTCTCTGTTTTCTCGCCTCATTTAATTTATGATTCCTTGACCAATATGAGTCATATACTGTTCCACTGTGAAAGTTTCTTATCGACTGATGGAAAAATACTCCTTTCAGAACATGTTTATCGAAGAGATATAAGGATTCATATATTGTGCTGTAATTTATAGGAAAAGTTCAAACTCATTTTGAAGTGCTTGAGCTTGTCGTTACACTACTTCGTTTATGGACGTGCAACAAAAATAAGTTATGTACAATTCAAAAGACGAAAAAGTTCTCTATCTTCTTTTAAATAAACGTTTTCTGTTAGC